CACACACACACACACACACACACACACACACACACACACACACACACTCACACACACACACACACACACACACACACTCACACATATACACCAATTTTTTTTTGAGTGTATAATATATTATATATATAATAAGTGTAGATACGTGAACGTGTAATGTAATTGTATTTAATGCTTATACACGTATTCATAGCATGGTATATTTATACCAATGCTGGTACGAAATAAAATTTAATTACTAACTAAAAGTACATGTTATAATATAATTAAACATATTTTATTATTATTATTATTATACAACTTATATTATGTAGTAATATTAATGATAATGTAAAAATCCAATACATTTTCATACAACAAATCGCTTATTATAATAATAATAGGTATAGTTTGGTATGATATAGATATAATATCTAAAGTTAAGCCCGACATCGAGCTGTGTGCAACGACGCGAATTAAACCCAAGCGCAGGGCATAGAAAATGTAAAGAATCGTCAGTTGGATTTGACGTCCTATTTTACGTATAGGTAATACCGTTATACGCGGCCAAAATTCAAACACATTACACAATAATAGTTTAATATATTAGACGTATATTCAGGATCATGGAAACTGAAAAAAAGGTCAGGTAATAATATTTTATTGATTTAGGACTTTTTGTTTTGAATTAAAATACGATGTGTCATTTAAGGAACAAAAAATTGTTGAAAAATATAAAGATATTCATTTTTATATCCACTTTAATTGATAATAATTCAATTTAAAAGTTTCATAGGTACTAACAAACATTTAATTATTATTCCAGTAGTTTATTCTGTCAAAACCAACGATGATATTATCATGTTCAATTAGTTCGTTTAAAATTATCGACCAATTAATTAATTTATAATGATTTAAAAAATATATTTATATATATTTGGCGGGTCGCCTAAAAAACAAATCAATACAAATAATATCATCTAAAACCGGAAATTGTGAGGCATGGATAAATATTAATCGATTGGAAAAATTAGTTTATTGCGAGGTCAGTGAGGTAACCGGAACTAACTATTCTATAGTGCTATGTCTGTGGGCCAAATATAATAATGTGCACTGGGATAAACAACAATCATATCATTTTAGCATAGAAAACCATTAAAAAATAAAATTATAACATCTGTCATTTGTCTTGTTAATATATCGTCCTGCTGACATGCACATTTTACATAATTGTGTTATATTTAGTTATTTAGTTTGTTAGTGAATACTTAATTATATTACTAGTAAACATGTTTAGGTCTGTCGACTAGTCAAATAATACACAACATTCAGTGTTTATCATAATTTCGGTGAGTTGTATATTTCAATTACGTAACAATGGCAATGAATTATACGTCTGTATAAAATGAGGTAAATTAAATAATATTGCCTGATTTTACTTTAGTCCGAAAACCGATATTTATTATGCTATATGCTGAAACAGAAAGCAGGAATCAGTGAATTTCGTTTATCAGGTAAAATATAAAATATCATTCTATCTTCTATTTAAATCACATACTTAGGGAGAAAAATTATTATTATAATTACCCTTACAAATATAGTTAGATATATACAGTATTAAACTAAAAAAAAACCAGAATATTTGAATTCACATCGTTGAGGTGGACGAATATGATATTTTTTCGATGGAGGAGGAAAAGAGGAATTTTAAAATCGCGCAAAAATATCAATGAGGGGGAAAAACGCAGGTGGAGAAGTCGGGATGCCATAAATCAAAAAATGTAATAAATACAACTACAGAAAAGCGGATAGTGAACACCCGTGTACTACCATAGTTTAAATTACTAAATTAGTCAATAATAAAAATCGCACACAGTTATTGAAATTTCTATAATGTTGTCTACATTATCTACACTATAGTTAAGATTCCGTGCATAAAATTTAAATGTATAATATATTTTAATAAAGTCAATATGTCACACTAACGTTAAACCGAAGATTAAATAGATGAAACGGGTGTTGGAAATTATACGAGACGTCTCCGTTTTTCCGACTAGACTTACCAGTATGCTATAAATTATACAATAATAATTATACAATGTTTCCTTATGGCCTATCGATCGAAAACTGTGTCAATAAAAATCACATTACTGCGTAGATTGCATTCCTCAGGAAACATTACAATTACATATATTCTTTGTTTATTAGTACGTATACATTTAATAATCACATAATACAATGTGTTATTAAATGTCATGTGGTCCTCCTTAATCATATATACTTTAATATTCTATTACGATTCCTGAACTTGATCGTTTTTAATTTAACTCTGGCGCGTGTGGATATATAATATTTCATATGATTTCTGACGAGTCATATTTAGAACTATATAGTAAAATAAAAGATTATAATTTATAGGAAATGTATGCAATTTTCATTTGCGAGGTAGTTCAGAAGATTTTAATGAATATTATAAATAATTATAAAAATAAATAAAACAAACAAACAAAACAAAATAAATATAAGTAAATGAAACACATAGTCAATAACATTAAGTATTATTATATACAAAACGAAAATAGCTATACTAGTTATCGTACTACGCCAACTATTACGGCGGGAAAATAATACCATATAGTATATTAGTTTATACGATATATCATGACCATAATATAGGTAGTATTTTAGTATAATACAATGTTATATGGTTTTGAAAGTATTTAAAATGTATTAAATGTTACAGAAAAATTCAGATACATATTAAAAAATATGTACTTGAAATTATGGCAGAAGACTTGAATAAATTGTATATACGAGTACATGTATATTTTATGTGTTGTGTTCTCGAGGAAACAGCCGTCAGACTTTTATCAAAGAGACATGTGGGTGGATGATGATAGGAGACCGCCGGACACGTGCGACCAGTATATATGATATTATATCGATAATTCCGAGTGTACTTGCCAGCACGTATCTTTTTTTCTATACATACATAATATAGAAAGTTATGGTTATATATAAATGGGAAAAATTTGACCCCCCAAATCTTATATATATATATATATATATATATATAAACATACTCACAAATATAATATGTAACATATACTTATATCACAAAAGCCAAAATAAGAAGACTAAAAAAAAAAAAAAATAGGTCGCCTTTGAGTGAGTTTAATATTATTATAGCTTCGTCCCGCCGTGTCACCTTATAGTATTATATTCATTGAATGTCTTCAGGCGACAGTCCAAAGCTCACGTTGTCTGTCTTCATTGTGGTCATCGTGAATCGGCAAATGTACGTGCCACTTCGGGACGTGTGCGCTCCACGGCGCAGGCGATTCTGCCTGTGCGATCCCCAACAGAGGAATAACCGTTTGAATTCGTTACGGTATTTGCCTGAAAAATAGATAAACGGATGAAATACTATTTTATTATTATTTTTTTCATCCATTATTATTTGGGTTTAGTCTGGAGCAGGCAACACCGTCACATGGTCCAATAACCATCACACAGTATCCTCATCGCCTACGGTGCTATAACTTGTGTCCTCTCAGGATATTACGATATCCCGAACTATATTATATTACGCCCCGCATGTAAAAGCTATTGGACGATTGAGAACTTTATACTATTTTGGCTGAATTATTGAGAAAACAAAATTCACAAAGAACTAACCACTCACTAAACAAGATAAATTTAACTGAGAAAAAGTGTACGTAAATTATTGTTCTGCATTAAATAGATTTATAATATGTACTTCACTTACAAATAAAGTTTTATTTTTTAACTAAGGAATGATAATTTTTTCATGGTAGAAAGTTTACTAAATTTTAATAATTAACACATATTAATTGATACAATCTATTGGCGACAAAATTATATTTAATATATTTTTTTTAAATTTTTGGGATGGTACTAGTTATTTTGTAGTATGAAAAATCACCTACCCCACTTGAATCTTTTCGGAGAATACTATTCGTTATTGGCAAGTATCAAGGATACAAGTGCATATATATTTAGTGCTCAAATATTATTTATATTATATTTTATAATTATAAATTTGGCTTTAGTTAAGTTTAAATGTTCTAATTTATAATTTATAGATCATCGATTCTGTTGAAAAATCGTAAATCAATAAATTATATATATATATTAAACAAACAAAGAACAGTAGTACATTTATATTTGAAACTACATTAACTGTTACATTCATAACTTACCACTCATAAAGTTGTATATCAGCGGGTTCACTGCGCTGTTAGCATAACACAACCAATGACTTAAATTTGAAACTAAAGCTGTTATCTGCGATTGTTGAATACCCACCGTAAATCTATAAACCAATAGAAATACATTTATTATATATTATTATATATATGCTTAATATTTATTATTTATTATTAAAAGTTTATCACATTATAATAATAATGATTATTAAGTAAAAGTATAATGAATATACATTATGAATAATACTTATGAGTTATGACTGTGACAATTTAAATTTATATTTGGTATATTATTAACTTATTTAAAACATACATTAAAATATTCGATATTTGATTTGAGTAAATTTATACAGAATATAAATTTACTGAACATTCGTCATACAAGAAATACAATGAAAATGTTTCTTTTATAGTATTGTATTAGTTATGCTAATGGTATTACATTATTATAAATAATCGTAATACTAATAAAGCTATTACATTATATTAATTGTGTGTGTAAATGTTTGTGAATACATTAATCGCTCATTAAAGAATAAAAAATAATACCTACTATAAACTATTATAATATAGATAATATTATAATAAACCTAACCTATGTTCGCTTCGAATCCTGTGGGGTAATTTTTTGGAGAATATTTCGTCCAAAATATACCTCAAAAACGTCATCAAATTTTATAAAATTTATTTCGCTTTTGCAGTTTGATAGCATATTTTGATAGGCACGAATAAAATTCTAATATATTTAGCTATTTTTTTTTAAATTCTATACTCTAGACACAGAATACCTTTCACAAAAAAATAAAAAAAATCCATTGATAGAATTTTTTTTTCTATTCAACATGATACATTTATTTGTGATACTATATATTTAACTTATACATCACAATACAAATTTAATTAACACTATTATAATTATATTTATGAAGTTTTATATTTATACTTTATTTGAGTTTTATTTAAATTCAAAATGATTTATAACAGTTGTATTATATTAAACTATTGCCATCGTAGTTATTAAACCTAATTATTCGAAAATGTAACTATATGTATTAAGTTATACTTAAAATAGGTATTGAAAATCAATCCAATACGTACAATCTAACATAATACATACTTCTTTAGGGAAAGTGTTAAAATTATTAGTATGTATTTGAGTTTGTATTTTTAAGATCCTGAATAATTACAGTGGCGTTTGTTAGGTACTATTTAATATAATATATTATATGAGAATTGTCAGTGCAAAACATACTTTTCCATTTTCACGAATTTTGTATTATTGATACATCGATTCGTATTGAACGATGAGGAATCATTATTTTAGGTCCAAACACTCTCTTTAATCAACATTTTATATTTACCAGGTATTATTTTCTGCAAAGCATAATCTTATTTCCATTTTATTGTAAAATTTACCATTCTGATGTAAACAATACACCTATATTAAGTATAAATTCAATGTATAATGCACTAATGTGTTACGAATCTGGTATTAAAGCTTACTAGACCGTGTATTTAAGATGTTATAGGTCAAGGATATTGGATATATATATATAGTTTTACTGTCCAAAAGTAAAATAAAACCAAGGGATTGATGCAGCGGATGCTATTAAAAAACAAAGTAATCTCGAAATTAAGGGTTATCTCTAGAGACTGAACTCTGAAGTCCCCTGACAGTTGTTGTTAATATCCTTTTTTCTCATTTATAATTCCAATCGATGGCCCCAAAACTATTTTGCTTTCTAAGCATATCAAAATAATTACTTACAGCTGCAATGACTATTATTATTATTAAAATTAAATTTAAAAAATATGTTTCTCATAAGAATTTTGCTGAAAAATTGTATTCAATACTAAATGTATCTATAAATATCGAGTCTAGAACGCGTGATTGTTACTTAATTTGACATTATTAATTTTTTTTTGCCAGTCAGTTGTTGTGTTATAATAATGTTTTTATATTTTATAAACGTTTTTTAATATTACAATGAAATATTGAGAAATACACGTTGTAGAACATAAGTACAAAATGAAGGTGTGGTGAAAAAAGTTAGTTACTCATATTTCAATCAAATGAAATTTTAGTGAAAATCCACGTAAAACATATTATGATTATGTCACCTTATATTATATATAGTAACACGAGGTTTTTTATGTATGCATTTTTATTAATATTTTTCACATATCATATTTGTAATATTTATAGACCTTGACACATTCATTACTTACAAATTTGCATTTATATGCAATAAGCCATTTACTCTGAGACAATATTTGGCGCACGTTTTTCGAAAAAAGATTGAATGCTATATTATTAATTTTTCTTCTCATTATACCAAAAACATAACACACAGAAGCAGCCTTTAATCTTGGATTATCTCGACGGCGTATGAGTACATAAAAAAAACTTCAGTGGGCCTGAAGACGATGACATGCGAAATAAAAACCCTCATCATCATATAACCAATCATTACACGCAGTGAAAAAGCGTCGTTTTATAACCCTCCCGAATATTTTATTCGAATGTTTTTATTAGCCGTATAATAATATATTAAGTCAATGGGCTCGTCAAATCGAAATGTCGTCGCTAAAATTCTTCGACATTGCCATCGTTGCTCTCTCTTGCATATCTCATCACGAGATATTATGCGACATAAAGTGTAAGTACCTATATTATTATACATAATAGCTTAATATAGAAAATTTATAACACACTCGCCCGCCATCATAATAATATATATATATATATATTATAATAAATACTCGATATGTATATAGAGCCTGTATAACTACAACAACAACAACAAATATGCGTTGGAGTATTAGTTTATACATTATATAGTATATAGGCCGTATACATGCTTTAAGTGTAATATACATTATTTACCTGGGGTGGCCAACTTGCGGCTCGCGAGCCACATGTGGCTCTCGTCATTGTCAAATGCGGCTAGTGTCTTATTTATGAAATCAAAATTCTTTTCTTCCTCTTATTATTATTATTATTATGAATTTTAATTTTTTAGATATACATTTATAAAAAAAAATATTATATAAAATGTATCTATAAAAGAGCCTAAGGCTCTTTGTATCATTGTATTTATCCATGTGGCCCGTGAGCCAATACATGTTGACTACCCTTGTCATATACATATAAATGGCTATCCGCGGAGATATAGCAAATTGTGAGATCGCAACGAACGGAAATTTAACCGTTTTATTTTTATTTTTTTCACGTCGCGCATATAATACACGTGATATATGATTGGATATGATTAAGGATTTAAAATGAGCATGCCACTCCTCTCCCAACTCAATAGACCATAGTAAATATTATCTTTTTTATTATTTATAACTATACAAAAATAATAAGTTTATTTTTTTTTTTACCATTAACCTAATAAAAGTAGGTAGTCTAAATAGTTATAGGTAATAGGTTAGCTAGGTATGTTTCAAATGTTTCAAATGCAAAACGTAATGTATTGTATTATTTAGTATATTGTAGATACCGTGGCATAGTTCGAAGTTTGCACGGTTTACGTCGGTTATAATGGGCTTTCAATTAATTTCCGGTTTTAGATTTCTCAGGAATCCCTTCCTCGCTAATAATTGTTCTTAATGTTCGATTGTCTCAATTTTCTTTGAATTGATCCTTCTGGGAGCCGTTCATTAAAACGCCTAAACCCAGTCTCACTAACTAACGTCAAATACCGACACCAACAGTATAATACTATATGGCACTCACCAATGATCTTTTCATAAGACATTGAATATTCACCAACGTTTCCGCTCCATAATATAATAATAATGTCCTATTGCCGTTGTTGACGCGAAATTAACTGTATTAAATTCGCTAATTCATTAGCAAAATGAAACATATATATGTACGTTTAAATATATATCGTCACCGTTATACACGCGCTCTTTTTTATGCGTTATTCCTCAAATAGATTTTCTCACGATTTAATCGTTGAATTAACAAATATTACAATATAACAATATAAACATTTATATACATAATATTAGGTATATTCTATTAAGCGGTTATTCATACGTGGAAGTTCATCTACCATCACACCAATGCGACGACACAATGTTTATGAAAAAAAAAAAAAAAAATTGATTCAAATTTAAATCAATAATTTAAAGTACACGTAACGAAATCACAATATATTTATCGTTCAACAAAACATATGTTATGATAATATAATGGAAATTATTGAATTTTAAAAATCAATTTTTGATAGTGAAATATTTGATTACGAAGCCTAACAGACTCATAGAAAATCAAATTTTCAGCTGGTCATTTTTCCAACGGGTAAAATATTGAGTCCGGTCCAAGTTGATTATTGGTCTGTCAATAACAGTAACAAATAATGTCAAATACGCATACCGGCTGCAACCATATATAATAATATTAATACACGTAGATATGCTTTTACGTAAATCGTTTTTATCCCTTGAGAATACTTCAATAATACGCACCCACAATAACTTAGGTATAACTAAATAAATATTTATTTTTGAACGAAAACGATGACTTAAAATCTGAATTGAAATGCATTATACAACTATATGACATTAAAGGATGTTTTAATAATTTAAAAAAACATTTTCGAGTGTGAAAGTACGTTATTCCACTACTCAAATGGTATTATATTTTATAATCTCTGGGAAAATGATAAAAATAAACAATAATAAGTTCATGATATTATGAAGTGAATGATGCTATTTTTATTTATTCGTGGTAACTAAAAAACTGAAATTCTTATAAAATATTACTAAAACGATTAACATATAAATAGAATATTATATTATTATATGATATATCATTTTCATTTGAAATAGATATATTTATATTATATAGATGGTAGTTTGTAAAACAAAATGAGGAATAAAATATATTCCGGGTTATATATTTGTGTGAATAACTTAATAACTTTTTTGCTTAATATTTTTGTATATATTATAAGCGTTATTAAAAAAAAAAATTGAATTTATTATATAAAAGTATTTGTATTTTAAATAATATGTCAAAAAATATGAATGTATAATATATTATATAAATGTGTTATGCCGCCTTCTACCCATCAAAAACTATTTTACTCTA